CCCCCCTCCCCAGGGGTCTCCCACCCGAACCCCCGCAGCACCGAGCTGTCTGACATGATCTCGGATTCCGAGGACGAGGGCCACGACCCACTCGGTGGGAAGGTGAGAGACCTCGCTGGGGTTTCCGTAGCCCACTCTGAGGGGTTTGAGAGTTGTACTGCGAGTGCCGTTAGCCACATCTCCGACAGGGTCAGAGTCTCCGTGTCTGTTTGTCTTCATCTGTGTGTGTACGTGGCCATGAGTATATACCTCCGTCGGCATGTGCACGGGGGTGTATTATCGCTGGGGTGGGCCCAGCATTTATTGCCCCGTCCCCAGTTGCCCCTCCTTGAGAAGGTTCGGGGGGGGGGGGACAGTGAGCTGCCCCCTTGAACCGCTGCAGTCCCACGTGCTGTAGGGTAGACCCACAATGTCCCTCTCGGGGAGAGAATTCCAGGGATTCGGACCCCGCCACACTGAAGGAACGGCCGATATATTTCCAAGTGGGGATGGGGAGGGGGCGGACTTGCAGGGGGTTGGTGTTCCCATGTATCTGCTGCCCCCCCCCCCCTTGTCCTTCTAGATGGTAGAGGAGCGTGGGGTTTCGGAAGGTACTGTCTGAGGAGCCTCAGTGAGTCCCTGCAGGGCGTCTTGTCGATGGTACACACTGCTGCGGCTGTGCCTGAGCGGTGGGTGGGGGGGAGGGGGTGCTTGTGGATGTGGTGCCAATCGAGCTAGTGGGGTGGGGGGGTGGCTGCTTTGTCCCTGGATGGTGTCGAGTCTCTTGAGCGTTGTCAGAGCTACACCCATCCAGGGCAAGTGGGGAGACAGGAGGGGAGTGACTTGCTGCAGGAATCCCGGTCTCTGACCTGCTCCTGTAGCCCCTGTGTTTATGTGGGGCCGGTCCATGTTCAGTTTCTGGTCAATGATAACCCCAGGATGTTGATAGTGAGGGGTTCAGTGGTGGTAACGCCATTGAATGTCATGGGATGGTGGTTAGATTGTCTCTTATTGGTGATGGTCATAGCCTGGCATGTGTGTGGTGCTGAATGTTGCTTGCTGCTTGTCATTCCAAGCCTGGATATTGTCCAGATCTTGTTGCATGTGAATACGGACTGCTTCAGTATCTGAGGAGTCGCAAATGGTGCTGAACATGGTGCAATCATAGCGACCATCCCCATTCCTGACCTTATGATGGAGGGAAGGTCATTGATGAAGTAGCTGAAGATGGTTGGGCCTAGGACACAACCCTGAGGGACACCTGCAGAGATGTCCTGGAGCTGAGATGACTGACCTTAAACAACCACAACCATCTTCCTATGTGTCAGGTGTAACTCCAACAACTGGAGCGTTTGCCCCCTGATACCCATTGATTCCAGTTTTGCTCGGGCTCCTTGATGCCACATTCAGTCGAATGCAGCCTTGATATCAAGGGCTGTCACACTCCCCTCACCTCTGGAATTCAGCTCTTTTGTCCATGTTTGAACCAAGGCTGTAATGAGGTCAGGAGCTGAGTGGTGGAACCCAAACTGGGCGTCACTGAGCAGGTTATTGCTGAGGAGGAGCTGTGTGATAGCCCTGTTACTGACACCTTCCATCACTTTACTGATGGTCGAGAGGAAACTGATGGGGCGGTAATTGGCCGGGTTGGATTTGTCCTGCTTTTTGTGTGTAGGACATACTTGGGCAATTTTCCACATTGTCAGGTAGATACCAGTGTTGTAACTGTACTGGAACAGCTTGGCTAAGGGAGCGGCAAGGTCTGGAGCACAAGTCTTCAGTACTATTGCCGGAATGTTGTCAGGGCCCGTAGCCTTTGCAGTATCCAGTGTCTCCAACTGCTTCTTGATATCATGTGGAGTGAATCAAATTGGCTGAAGACTGGTATCTGTAATGCTAGGGACCACTGGAGGAGGCCGAGATGGATCGTGCACTCAGCACTTCTGGCTGAAGATCGCTGCAAATGCTTCAGCCTTATCTTTTGCACTGATGTGCTGGGCTCTTCCATCATTGAGGATGGGGATATTTGTGGAGCCTCCTCCTCCAGTGAGTTGTTTAATTGTCCCTCACCATTCACAACTGGATGTGGCAGGACTGCAGAGCTTAGATCTGATCCATTGGTTATGGGATCGCTTAGCTCTGTCTATCACTTGCTGCTTTCGCTGTTTGGTGTGTGAGTAGTCCTGTTCGATGGCTTCACCAGGTTGATACCTCATCTTCAGGTATGCCTGGTGCTGCTCCTGTCATACCCTCCTGCACTCTCCATTGAACCAGGGTTGATCCCCTGGCTTGATGGTGATGCTTGAGTGGGGGATATGCCGGGCCATGAGGTTACAGATTGTGCTGGAGTACAATTCTGCTCCTGTTGATGGCCCACAGTGCCTCATGGATGCCCCAGCCTTGAGTTGCACGAGCTGTGCGAAGTCTGTCCCATTTAGCACGGTGATAGTGCCACACAACACGATGGAGGGTATTCTCAATGTGAAGACCTCCATTCACTGTGTGGACTTTTTCTGGGGGAGTTGGGGGGTGAGTGCGGTGGATGGCTGATGCCCCCTTTGGGGGGGAGTGGGTGGGGGGGGGTGGTGGGTGGTGTGTGGCTGGGAGAGGTAAGGGGTTGACGTGATGTCAAATCTCACCCTGACGCCGCCCCCCCGCCTCGCCTCTCTGTTCTGTGTTCCTCCTGCAGGGCCCCTTGCGGCTGTACCACAGGACCAAGAACAACACCCTGATTCCGACTCTGGTGCAGCACATTCACCTGATTGCCCTGAAACCCTGCTACGTGGCCTTGGAGAGGTTAGCGGTGAGTCCTAGCACCCTCGGGGTAAGGGGCAGCCCATCGCCGGGGAAGTGTGGGGCTCTGTGAGGTTTCGGAGGCGTTTGTGTGAGGCACGGGCGGGAAGGTGATGGGGAAGGCCCTAGCCCCTCCGGGGGACCACCTTCAGAGACACAGCAGTGGCAGTGGGGTTTTCCAGGCACTGGGCTTCTCCGCGGATACCCCTTGGGGGAACGTTTACCAACGCAATTTCCAAGGACGCAAGTCCTATCTGATGTAAACCAGCCCCACAGTCACCGAACTGGAACAATCTAGAACAAAACTTGGCACTGAGCTGGACCAGATGTTAACACCGGCATCCGAGAGCTGGCATTCCCAGTTCCGAGACAGGGAGCGTCCCAACACGGGAGGGTCATGGGGCTGGTTAGCTGGTTGGGGCGGGGGTTCGGGAAGCATCGGTGACCGGGTGCGGGCCTGGGGAGAGCCGGTCCTCTCTGACCCGGGCAGGGGTTGATGAGGAGTTTGGGGGGGGGGGGGAGGGTTGGGAAGGAAAGCAATGGATGTCTTCACCCCCCCACAACCTACTGATGTTGTGCCAAGAGCACACTGAACGCACGCCCCCTTCTCTGTTCTCTTCCAGAGGCCAACGGTGAGCTGACAGCACCCGCTGCTTGCCCCGCGTTGATCACACTCTGGCTGGCACCCGACACCACCACCGTTGATGCTGAGCCGAGCCTCCCCTGTGCCTGGGACGTTTGGTGGGAGCAGCATTTGAGGTGGGGTTTGGGGAGAGGGGGTGCTGCCGCACTGCCTGCGGTGCTCACCAGCCGACGTGGGAGGACGACAGACACGAACATAAGCTCACCGCCGTCCCGAGGTGGTGGGAAGTCTACGCGTAAACCTTTCTCCCTGGATGGTATTTATTTTTCTGAACGTAGACCGTGAAGGGAAGGTTCGGATCCGTGAGAGAGAGGGAGACTTTGTATTCAGAGAACGGTGGGAATCTGTTTGCCAGCACTTTCTTTCCTCTGTATTTCTGTCTTGTACTTTTGTTTTAGGAAAATGCAAAATGTGAGTTGTTTTTATTTAAGAAATGGGCCAGGGAGACGAATATTGTTATTCTGAATAAATTAGTGAAAGGCAGTGTGTCGGACTCATTACTGGGGAGTGTCTCTCTCCATTATCTACAGGAGCAGTAAATGGTCATCTGTATTCCATCCTTTTTCACCACCTCCCTGTGGGGTTTATGACAGCTGAGACTGTGCAGAGCCTCACATCCTCTTTTCCATGTGGCTTCCATCAGGACCAGTTGCAAGAATGCCCAATTTCAAATGATTTGCTCCAGCGCGGAGGGAGGTGCTGGTAGGGGAGCTGATCTGGCCGTTGCCCTCGCGTACACCAGGAGAGAAGCTTCAGAAAGTAGCGTGGCATGCACACAAGTTTACTTCCCGCTCACTTTCCTTTTTCCAAATTGTTTGTTGTCTCCGTTTCCACTGCCACATTGTCCGTCGCTGCATTTTTAAAACTAAATTCTTCCCCTTATCCCTGCATCGCTCGACCAAAACCATCTACCTCTGTCTGCCTCGTCCTTGCATCATAAGCGCATGGGAACAGCTCCCCACTATCTCCCTTGTCTGAGCCTGTCACAATTTTGTCTGCCTTGGTCAATCTCCCCCCTCAACCTCCTTTACTCCGAGCTGAGCTGCCCCAGTTTCTCCCAACCTAACCTTATGGATAAACACCCTCATCTCCTTCTTTAAGTGGAGAACTGGAAACAATGCTCTCGTTGTGGCTTTACTAGAGCGTTCTAAAGGTTCAGCAGAACTTCCTGACTTTTGTGGTCCGTGCCACTACTTGTGAAGCCTGTTGCTTTTCTAAACATTCTCCCCTTGTGTCCTACCATCTTCAAAGATTGATGCACACGAGTCCTATTGGTCTCTCTGTCTCTGTTCAGACTTTAAGTCCATTTTCCCTCCCTTTCCCTTCTGTCAAGCTGCATCATCTTTACCCTTCTGTATGTTTGCCACTGCTACCTGTCTGCCCATTCTGCATCCAGTCTACTTGCTGTTGGGGGAGGCAGTAGTGTGGTCATGTCACAAGACCTTTACAATTAAAAGTAAGGCCTTCGGTAGCGTTATAGAGCAGAGACCTAGGGATTCAGGTCCATAATTCTTTGAAGTTTGCATCACACACAGACAGGGCAGTTAAGAAGATGCTTAGCACGCTTGCCTTCATTACTCAGACTTTGGAGGTATAAGAGTTGGGATGTCATGTTGAGCTCGTACAGGACATTGGTAAGGTCTCTTCCAGAGTACTATGTCCAGTTCTGGTTGCCCTGTTATAGGAAGGATATTATTTAGCTGGAGAGGGTTCAGAAGAGATTTATCAAAATGTTGCTGGCAATGCAGTTTGAGTTATAAGGAGAGGCTGGGACTTTTTTCACTGGAGCGTAGGAGGTTGAGGGGGTGACCTTATAGAGGTTTAAAAAATCATGAGGGTTTATATATAAGGCGAATGGCAGATGTGTTTTCCCTAGGGTGGGGGATTTCAAGACTAGAGGGCATATTTTTAAGGTGAGAGGAGAAAGATTTAAAAAAAAGACATGGGGGCAGTTTTTTTTCTACAGAGCGGTTTGAGCGTGGAGTGAACTTCCAGAGGAAGTGGTAGATGCAGCAACAGTTATAACATTTAAAAGACATTTGGATAAGTACATGAGCAAGAAATGTTTGGAGGAATATGGGCCAGGAGCAGGCAGGTGGGACTAGTTTAGTTTGGGATTAGCATGGACTGGTTGGACCGAAGGGTCTGTTTCCGTGCCGTATGACTGGCACTCCAGGACAATGCCCTGGGGGCCATGTACTGTAGCCAAATTTGCAGATGACACAAAAATAGGTGGAAAGGCAAATTGCAAATGGGATACAAACAATTTACAGAGATGTCAATAGGTTAAGTGGGTAAAAGGTTGGCAAATGGGAGTATAATGTGGTAAAATGTGAGGTCGTTCATTTTAGAAGGGAGAACAAAAGAACAATATTATTTAAGTGGAGAACAACTGCAGAAAGCTGTAACACAAAGGGATTTGGCGTCACTTGTGAGCGAAACACAGAAAGCTTGCACACGGGCAACAGGTAATCAGGAAGGCTAATGGAGTGTTGGCCCTTATTTCAAAGGGGGTTGGAGTATAAGAGTAAGGAAGTCTTACTGGAAACATACAAGGTGCCAGTGAGACCACATCTGGAGGACTGGGAGCAGGTTTGGTTCCCTTATTTAAGGAAAGATGTTTAATTGCAGGCAGTTTAGAGAAAATTCACTAGGATGATCCCTGGTACGGAGGGATTGAGGCTAAATGGGCTGGGACTGTAGTCACTGGGGTTTGGAAGAATGAGTGGTGATCTGATTGAAACATACAGGATTCTTAAGGAACTTAACAGGATAAATGCTGAGAGGAGGTTTCCCCTCATGGGACAGTCTAGCACCAGAGGGCACAGTCTCAGAATAAAAGGATGCCAATTTAAGACTGAGATGAGGAGAAATTTCTTTGCTCAGAACTCTTTGGAACTCGTGCCACAGAGAGCTGTGGGATGGTGGCAGAGACTTTGTGAATATTTAATGTTAGGAGAGATTCTTGATCAGTCGGGGAATCCAGGGTTACAGGGAAAGGGCAGGAAAGTGGATGTGAGGAATGTCACATCATCCACAATCCTATCCGATGGTGCAGCCAGGGCACCGAACAGACTACTCCTTTTTGATTTCTCACGATCCTGTGGGGCACAGCTTTGCTTCCTACCGTGGCTGGATGGTGAAATTTCAATTCAATTAAAAGCAAGTCTGGAATTAACAGAGATAGTAAGAACTGCAGATGCTGGAGTCAGAGATGAACACAGCAGGGCCAGGCAGCAAGAGAGGAGCCGGAAAGCTGACGTTTCGGATCAGGACCCTTCTTCAGACCAACCAAGGGTCCCGACCTGAAACGTCAGCTTTCCCTGCTCCTCTGATGCTGCCTGGCCCTGCTGTGTTCCTCCAGCTCCACACCTTGTTATCTCTGGAATTTACAGCTAGTCTCGTGACGTCCAGATAACCACTGCTGTGAATACCCCGAATGCCTTTCGGGGAAGGAAATCTGCCGTCCTTACTGGGTCTGGCCTTCATGTGACTCCAACAGTGAGGTCGACTTGTAACTGCTCTCGGGGGTTAATTACGGATGGAGCAGTAAATGCTGGTCTGGTCAGCGTCACCCGCATCCCATGAAAATATATACCTATGCATATTTTTAAAAATCAATTGGCATCATCCTTTGCAGTTTTACATTTTACCTTGCAGTCCAGTATCCATATACCAATGTTTAATATATTTGTATATAGATTTTAAAACATAAGCGGTGGTCCCTTTCCTTCTAGTTCTTTCATCAGAAGGTTCACTGAGAATCGCCAACACAGTTAGCGGTGAACTTTTATGGGATCTGGCCGTTAACTGGTGAAGTATTGCCCTGTCCCTAATTGCCCTTTGAGCCTGAGGGCCATTTCAGAGCATGCTTGACACGTCAGAACTTTCAAGGCTTTTGGCCAAGGGTTGGAAAGTTGGACTCGTCGCAGACTCAATGGGCCCAAGGGCTGCGTCTGTGCTGCGAGACACCCCCTCTACATGCGTGCAGTTAAGAGTCGGCCACCTGGTCTGTTGGAGTCACGTAGAGCCAGAGTGAGGAAGGAAAGATTTCCTTCCTTGAAGGGAGGTGGCATTAGTGAACCCGATGGAGTTTTTAATCACAATCCATGATGGCTGTCAGGGGAAGGGGTGGGGGAACGTTCAGAAACGTGTGTTGGAATCTGAGCTTGCTTCTGGAGTCCTGGCAATGCAGGAGGATGGTTGTGGTGGGATGGAATCAGTGCAGGGGGAAATGATGTTCCATCACTGTCCAATTATTTCTTTCCAACCCTCTATTCATTCACTATTCCCCTTTTGTGCCAACTTTGCAAGGCTGGCTTAAGGCTAGTTATCAAGGCAGTTCTTTCTGAGATCAGCTGTTTGTGGTTGGTTAGTTTTGTGCATTGAAATAACCTGGCCATTACTGGTGAAGCACAGCATTCATCCCTAATTCCCCTTTCAGAGGATTATGGGGCGTTGCCTTCCAGAACCACTCAGGTCCACAAGTGGGAAGGGTTAGGGACATGCACAGTGCCCTTAGGGAGGGAATGCCAGGATTCTGACACTCAAGGTAGGGTAATACATTTCCAAGTCGGGATGGGGAGTAGCTCGGAGGCGGAACTTGCAGGGGGCTGGTGTTCCCATGTATCTACCGCCCCGTTGTCCTTCTAGATGGTAGAGGGGTGTGGGTTTTGGAAGGCGCTGTCTTAGGAGCCTCGGTGAGATTTTGCAGGGGATCTTGTAGATGGTACACATGCTGCGACCAAGCATCAGTGGGTGGGGCGGAGCGGGTATTTGTGGATGTGGTGCCCATGGAGCGGGGTGGGGCTGGACGGTGTCAAGCTTCTCGAGTGTTGTCGGAGCTGCCCCCATCCAGGGCAAGCAGGGAGTATCCCATCACACTCCTGACTTGTGCCTTGTCAATGGTTGCTGTTGAGAAATTGTAACCCTGCTGTCCATCCCTTTCCTTTCTCCTGTCTCCTGTCTCCCCTTCCCCGCCCAAAAAAAAAATCCATGAATATCAGAGAGGCCCTCTCTTCAGGGAAAGTATCTCTGCCTCCTCTTGCCCTTACTAATGTTGGGGCTATCTTGGTCTGGTGCAGTTTACCTTCCAGCTGCCCAGAGATGTGGAGTACCATGTGAACAGACAGCGACAGTCACTGTCTGAATAAATTCTGACCAGTTGTTGACACTCTGGTTTTGTTTATTTTTTTTCCCGACATAAGGGGTTGCAAAATAAAACGGCAGCAGCTAACCGCTCCTGTGTACTTGGTAACCTGGTGGTGGGATCGCAGCCACAGTTGGTGTTTCCAAAGAAAATATCGATGCGGTGGCTGACTCCAACCTCATCCCTTCCACTCCCAGACACTGGCACCCATCTGATTAAAAATGTGGTCTCAACTAGGGGTGTACAGCAAGTGGTCCCAAATGTGACTTGTACTGACATCATTATGAGGTAGACCCAGCTACGATCCGTACAGACGTTTAAGAAAGTGGTCCCAAACGTGACTCATACAAGCACTGTAGGCAGGTAGTCACAGCTATGACCCATACAAGCATCTTAAGTAGATGGTACCAGACACAACTCGTTTAGGTGACCTAAGCAGATGGTTGCTGCAGTAGAGGTAACTGAGACCAACTCCCGCAGCAGATAGAAAACAACAATTTCAATTTATCCTGTGACTTTAAACATCCTGGTGCTTCCGAAATATATGAGGCAGTGAAACGTGACACTGAACCATGCAAAAAGATAAGTCAGACAAGCTCAGTTGAAGAAGTTGGTTTTAAAGGACGAGAGAGGGGTGTGGAAAGGAGGGAGCAGGGAGTTGTGTTTGTGTGTGTGTGTGTGTGTGTTGAGGGGTGGGAATGTGCTGGAGGATGGCCACCGACAATGCAGCGATGAAAATCAAGGGGAGAAGTGCAGAAATGTTGGAGGGTCGTGGGGCTGCAGGAAGTTGGGTAAGGGGGATTTGAAAATGACAATGAGAATTTTAAATTCAAACTCTCTCTTAACTGGAAGACCACTGCTGGTCAGCGAGCACCAGGGTACAAATGGGGAATAGGGTCCTGGTTCTGGTTAAGACCTGAGCACTGGAGCTTTGGAATGAGCTGGAGTTTACGGAGAGTACAATGGGAGACCAGGCAGGAGCAAGTCAGAATAATCAAGGCTGGAGGTAGCCAAAGGCACAGGCAAGGGTTTCAGCAGCAGATAGGTTAAGGCAGGCAGTGTTATGGAGGTGGAAACAGATAGTCTTAGTAACAGCTCAAACATGTGGCTGAAATCAAATACAACACTCCATTGTCAACAGTACTGTTCAGGTTTGGTTGCCAAGGAACAGAAACGACAGCTTCCGAATAATGTTTGGATGTGGGAGAAGTGATCTGATAATTTGGCAACAGCGAAGGAGTTGAGTGAGGTTGTGGCAGCAGTGAAGTAGAGCCGAGTATTGTGAGTGAAAAGTAACACTCTGCTTTGGACGTCCCTGAGGAGGTGTTGTGTGGATGAAAATTTGGATGCTGAGGACAGATCCATCAGCTATGCCCTTCTGTATTATGTCTGAGTTTGAGTTTCCACAGCGAAGGAGCAGACAAATCTTCCTGGCACTGCAGGCTTTTAGGGACCTGTGGACACTGCAGAGGCTGTAGGCTATCATCACTTTGGCTAAAGATATTTCAGTAGGTTTTCACTGATCTCTCAGTTTTCTTTAAATAGCCTGTGCTAGGCTACTAACAAAAAAAGAGTAGGTCCTCGGGAGACACCAGATGGAATGATGCTTGAGCAGGAAGGAAGGACTTTGTAAGCACTACTTGCCTTTGAGGGGTTAGATGAGAATGGGGCCAAAGAGAGAGTTGGATGACCGGACAGAGAGGGGGATGCTGGAAGAACTGAGTGGTTGACCATGTTAAAGACGGCACAGTGAGAAGGACCAGGAGAGAGAATTTATTCTCCCTCCAGCTGCATACAATTTCATTTCCAATATTCATTAAGCAATTTCCACAGGGTGTCAGGTGCAGAAACCTGATTGGAAAGGCTCAAACCATAGAATGGAGTGGAAAATGGGAATAGATTTGTGAGATGACAACATAATCAAGGATATTGGAGGTGGGAATATTAGATTGCAAGGACAGTGTGGCCAAATTTACAAACACAGTAAAGCTCCCTCTTTTAAACTAAAAGTAAACTGAAAATAAAGCTCCCTCCACACTGTCCCCCCTCCCCATCAAACACGCCCAGGGACAGGGACAGCACGGGGTTAGATACAGAGTAAAGCTTCCTCTACACTGTCCCCCCATCAAACACTCCCAGGGACAGGGACAGCACAGGGTTAGATACAGAGTAAAGCTTCCTCTACACTGTCCCCCCATCAAACACTCCCAGGGACAGGGACAGAGTAAAGCTGGTGGGTCCTACTTGAAGGTGGGGTTGAGTTGCTGTGTGACACGGATGAAGGTGGTCCTCCGGCTGAGCTCCTTCAGCTTGGCCGCTCCCACATAGGTGCAGGTGGAGCGAACGCCACCCAGAATGTCCTGGATTGTCTCTTGCACGTCTCCTTTGAATTCCACCTCCACCGTCTTTCCTTCCGACGCCCTGTGACGGACAAACCGGAAAAGAAGGTGCCTTTTTGTTTCTTCATGGGATGGCATCACCCATCCTTAATTACCCCCCTAAATTGAGTAGGTTGCTTCGTCATTTCGGAGGACAGATAAGAGCTGACCACATGGCTATGAGCCTGGAGTCACACAGAGGCCAGGGTGGGTAAGGATGGCAGATTTCCTTCCCTAAAAAGGCATTATTAAACCCAATGGGGGTTTTACCACAATCAATGATGGTTGTCGTGGTCACTGTGACTGAGTCTAGCTCCCAATTCCACATTTATTCACTGCATTTAAATTCCATATATCCCCACCCTCTCCAAACAGCATTAGCCCCAGGCCCTCAGGATTACTAGCCCAGTGACATTACCATCATACGACCATCTGCCCACTGAGGTGGTAGTAAAAATTGGTTTAGGAAGGAAGCAGAGTTGACAAGATGGGAGGTGACATCCCTCTGGTCATCTCCAAATGGGTGGTTGTGTGACTGATCTGATTGTGGCATCACCACCCACTTTCCTTCCTGTGCCCACTCCCTCTTCACCCTTGTCATTCAAAACTCTCAGCAACCCAGCTCCCACTGCTCTGTGGGGGAGAGAATTCCTCAGACTCCTACCGTCTGAGTGAAGAAATTCCTCCATCTCCCTCTTCAAGGGGAGACACCTTCATTTTTAAACTGTCCTCCCCCACAAAGGGAAACATCCTCTCAGCGTCCACCCCGTGAAAGTCCTCACCAGAATCTGATGGTCTCAATAAGATCACCCCTCATTCTTTTAAACCCCAGTGAGCATTGGCCCAACCTGCTCAACCTCTCCTCACAAGATAAACCCCCTTCATCCCAACGATCAACCTTCTCTGAATTATTTCTAATGCAAGTAAGTCCCTTGCTAAGGAGACCAAAACTGCGCACACACTGCTCCAGGTGAAATTTCACAATGCCACATACAGTTGTAGTCGGACCTTTCTACTGAGCTCAAAGATGTGTTTTAAGGTGGAGAGGCAGTAAGGATTAGGGAGGAAACTGCACAGCACACAGCGTACACAGGTGAATTTCTGCAGCGCATCTTGTACATGGCACACACTGCTGCGTATGAATGTCGGTGGTGGAGGGGGAGGGCGTTTGTGGATGTGGTACCAAGCGAGCGGGGACTGCTGTGTCCCTGGGCAGTGTCGAGATTCTCCAGAGTTGTTGGAGCTGCATCCATCCAGGGCAAGTGGGGAGTATTCCATCACACTCCTGACTTGTGCCTTGTCGTTGGTGGAACAGGCTTTGGGCAGTCAGGAGGTGAGTGACTCACTGCAGAATTTGCAGCCTCTTACCTGCTCTGGTAGCCAGTGTTTATGTGACAAGTTTGGTTGACATTCAGGTCAAGGGTGACCCTCAGAGTGTTGATAGTGGGAGAATCACAGCGATGGTAACACCACTGAATGTCAAAGGGGGTGATGGTCAGATCTTGAAAGGGTGGGGCAAAACCTTTGGCCTATCTGACCTGGACTGTCTTATTCAGCCACCCTCATGGTTATTACTCCCTCCGTCCACACACACTGCTACCTGTAATCGGCAACACCCCCATCGTGTTTCCTCATCGCAGTGTCTGAACTCATCCCGTAGAACAGTTTGTATTTCTTGCCGTTCTTCTCGAAGATCTCACCGCCGCTCTGGGTGTGCCCCGAGAACATCCCGCCCAACATGATAAAGTCTGCACCAGCACCTAGGATGGGTATTGGTGGGTGGTAAGGGGTAGAAATGCAAAGATTAGAGACTGATAGGATGAGCGGCCGCACAGTGGTTACCACTGCTGGCTCACAGCGCCAGGGACCCGGGTTCGATCCCACCCTCGGGCTACTGTCTGTGTAGAGTTTGCACATTCTCCCCATGTCTGCGTGGGTTTCCTCCCACAGTCACAAAGATGTGCGGGTCAGGGTGGGTTAGCCATGGGAAATTACCCATAGTGCACAGGGATGTGCGGGTTAGGGTGGGTTAGCCATGGGGAATTACCCATAGTGCCCAGGGATGTGCGGGTTAGGGTGGGTTAGCCGTGGGAAATTACCCATAGTGCCCAGGGATGTGCGGGTTAGGGTGGGTCAGCCAAGGGAAATTACCCATAGTGCCCAGGGATGTGCGGGTTAGGGTGGGGTTAGTCGTGGGAAATTACCCATAGTGCCCAGGGATGTGCAGGTCAGGGTGGGTTAGCCATGGGAAATTACCCATAGTGCCCGGGGATGTGTGGGTTAGGGTGTGTTATAGGGGGAAATGCAGAGTTACAGGGTCTGGGTGGGATGCTCTTTGGAGGATTGGTATGGACTTAACTGGCTCTTTGGCCTGCTTCCACACTGTCAGGATTCTATGAGTGAGTTGGGGTGGGGGAAGAACAAGAGTTTAAACTGCAGGTTGCAGGAATTAGAGAGAGGAAGACAGGTGCTCTGCTCTATTCTGTAGAAGGGCAGCTGTGATCCTCAGACAGAGGAGTTGGTCTGTGGGTGTCAGATCGGTACTAAATCAGCAGGACAGGTTTGTTCGTACTTCCTCCTCTATGAGTGAGGCCAGGGAGATGCCTATAGTCTTTTCCGTTTACACATTAACAGGATGAAGGTATCACCGGCCAGGCCACCATTTATTGCCTGTCCCTAATTGCCCAGAGGGCAGTTAAGAGTCAACCACATTAGCTGTGGGTCTGGAATCACATGTAGGCCAGGCCAGGTAAGGATAGCAGTTTCCTTCCCTAAAGGGCATTAGTGAACCAGGTGGGTTTTTCTATCAATCGGTCATCATTAGATTCTTAATTCCAGATACTTATCGAATTCAAATTTCACCACCTGCTGCGGCAGGATTTGAACGCGGGTCCCCAGAAGGTTATCTGGGTCTCTGGATTAACAGTCCTGTGATAATACCACTAGGCCATCGCCTCCCCTAGAGGTTAGAGGGGCTGGTGGGTGTTGTACCTCGAGAGGCACTGCAGCATGACAAATTCGGTTACAATCGGCTAACACTGGTTGTGGATGGATACTGGGCCAGGCCCGTGACAGGTGTATTTATACATCAAATCCTGTGGGAAGACAAACAGGAGGCGACAGGTTTGTGGTGGGGTGCACTCCACCCACAGGGTAGGCAGGCACCTGGAATGCAAGATAGCTGGCAATGTTTGATAACCAGACAGGTGAGCCGGTTTTAGTGGAGAAACTCAGTAGGGGGAGCCTCTTTCACTTCTCCCACCACTGCCATCATGTCACTGAGGTTTTGATGGAGCATACAGCCTCAACAAGAGATAGGAGCTCACCAAAGGCTTTGGCCACGTCTCCAGGACAGGTGCACCCTCCGTCCTGTTGAGAGAAATTCCACATTAACACTGAATACTTACAAGTCAGCTCAGACTAACTCCAATGGTGCAGGCACCACTCATACACTTAGGCTTTGATGAACTTCTCATGACACATAGGCTTCAGAAAATGCATGTACATGCTTCAAACAAATCGGGGGCTTTCAACAATTATTTTTACAGAGTAACAGACACCCAGGAGTGAGTTACAGACTGGAATCTAATCGAGGGGTTCGGGGTGGTTTATATACAGAATAACAGATACATGGGAGTGAGTTACAGACTGGAACCTAATCAAGGGGTTCAGGGTGGTTTATGTGTAGAATTGTCAAAAATCACACGGCACCAAAATATAGTCCAACAGACTTGTTTGAAAACACAAGCTTTTGGAGCCTCAGTCCTTCTTCAAGTGTTAGTGAGAGAGGTGGTATCAGACACAGAATTTATAAGTAAAAGGTCAAAGGTTCACACCACTGATGAGGATGTACTAAACAAACCTAAGATGCTGTTAAATCTTTAATCAGTTAAAAGGCTTAAATGATTAATATGTATATGTAAATCCCCAAATTCCTTTCAAGTCCCTGTCCTGAGAGAACTAAAGGTTTTATCAGTGTAAAGGAGAAGTGACATTTTAGGTCAGACAATGCACGATAGGTGTGAGATCTTGTTTAGAATCTGTTTGTGTTTTAGTTTGAAATCAGACTGGTTTTATTTGTAAGGTAGGAATTTATAAAACGCCATATTGACTGACTGTCTATATATTGTGCTCTTTTTCAATAAAATAGAAGGTATCTGCAAATACAAATTCACACCGCAGATTCACGTGTGCGTGTGCGTGTGCGCGAATCGTGGGAAGAGAGAGCCAATCCAACCAAAGAACACACCTGTCAACTGAACAGATTGGTCAAGACTTTTGATCCAGTCCTTCAGAATACCTCTCTCACCAGCACCTGAAAAAGACTGAGGATCCGAAAGCTTGTGTTTTCAAATAAATTTTTGGACTATAACCTGGTGTCGTGTGATTTCTGACCTTGTCTACCCCAGTCCAACACCAGCACCTCCACATCATATATACAGAATAACAGATACCGGGAGTGAGTTACAGACTGGAATCTAAATGAGGGGCTCGTGGTGGTTTACACATAGAATAACAGATATCCAGGAGTAAGCTACAGACTGGAATTCTAATGAAGAGGTGTTTTAAGGAGTAAAGTAAGTAATGTTTCAGAACTGGGACAAGAATGATTTGGGAATCAGAGTAGGTTACACATAGGGGGCTCAATGTCAGTGTGAGTTAATCCAGGGTGAACACATCTGCAACAAAGTAGTGAATATGACAGTGCATCCCTCTGTCTGCTCACCGACATAATGTGGCCATTCAAACCATGGGCTGCATCTGCACACTCAATTATTGCACTCAGCTGTGGGTATCCCACCCCTGTCTTTATCCGGGTTGTACACACGGAGCCTGAGGAGACAAGAACATAGCATGGTTAGTTGATTCAAATGCCAAACTCACCCCACGTAGAGGCACAGTAACATAACAAAACTACAGCTCCATAGTACACACAGACATGTGGACACTCATGTACAGACAGATGAAGTGCACACGAACATGTGCACACTTACGAACAAGAAATACATACATGTACACAACCATACACACAGGCAGACACAGTCTCAAACACAGCCACACACAAAAGCAGTCAAAGTTACACAAAAAATGTCAATGACGCACATACTGACAAATTAGAGGGAGGTGGTGGTAGCACAGATCCTATGTCACAGTCCAGAATCGCAGGCTAATGTTCTGAGGACATGGGTTTGAATTCCATCGCAGAAAATGGTGAAACGTCAGGTCTAATGGACACCACACAACTACTATCTTCATTAGCAACAACAAAAACAGAAATTGCAGGAAAAGCTCAGCAGGTCTGGCAGCATCTGTGACATGTTAACATTTTGGGTCCAGTGATCCTTCCTCAGAACTACCTTCATTAATGTCCTTTTGGGAACGAAATTTGCCACCCTTACCTGGTCAGGCCTACATATTGATTCCAAACCACAGCAACCACAGTGCAGCTCCACAATACTCAAGAAGCTCAACATCATCGAGGACCAATGTTACTCCATTCAGCACCTTCAACATTCATTCCCTCCACAACTGACACTCAGCAACAGCAGTATGTACCATCTAGAAGATGCACAACAGCAACTCACCAAGTCTCCTTACAGGGTCTTTTCTGAACCCATGATAGTCACCACCCAGAAGGATGAGGCTAGCAGATACAGGATAACACCACTACCAAGATCCCCTCCACAGCGCTCGCAATCCGGACTTGGAAATCCATTGGCTGACCCTTCAGCATTGCTGGGTCAAAATCTCAAAGCTCCCTTCCTAGCAGCACTGTCAGCATCCTTGCACCTCAAAAATTGCAGCATTCGAGAAGGCAGCTCATCACCGCCTACTCCAGAGGATGTCCAATAAATATTGGACCAGTAAGGAATACCCATATCGCATGAATGATTTTTAAAAAGTTCCAAAAGTCAGAAGACAGAGTATGTTAATTCTGCACAATGGAAAGGACACACGACCCTGCACAGACCCACAATGCTGGAACACATCTTCCGCTGACATCTTGGCACACCCCTTGAGTAAGCAGACAGTGCTGGTGCACTGGTACAGTCTCATGATCCTGGCAGACCATCCCTCTATGTTCTCTTTGATAATTACCTGGTCCAATCCCAACTTTGACGATGTCAGCTCCAGCCAAGATAAGCTCCTCCACCATCTCACCTGTCATTACGTTTCCTGCCTAGGGAGATAAATTCAACAGGACAGATTACAAGTCCGGATTTACCCTCAACAGGGTCGTATTCAGACTGGGCATGAGACAGAAAACTGTGGCAGAATATGGGAAGCAATTTATCAAAGAAACTCCATTACAGGAGATCAGGAAGCAGATGATGTAATCCATACTGGGTTCCAGGTAGGGGTGGGGATTGGGGACCCATGCTGGATTCCATGTGGCTGAGTGGTGAGTCAATGGGGAGATTGTCCAGTTGTGACAGTGGTGTCCAAAATTATGAGGGGTCTGGACACAGCAGATGGGGGGAAACCATTCCCTTTAGTGGAAGGGTCAAGAACCTCCTTTTAAGAGGCTCAACACCACCCAGGGACAAAGCAGCAACCACCACCCCCACCCACCGCCCAGCTTGATTGGCACCACATCCACAAACATCCGCTCCCCCCAACACCGAAGCTCAGCCGCAGCAGTGTGCACCATCTACAAGATGCACTGCAGAAACTCACCGAGCCTCCTTAGACAGCACCTTCCAAATGTGCGCCCTCTAACATCTAGGAGGACAGGGACAGCAGATATATGGGAACACCACCTCCTGCAAGTTTCCCCTCCGAGGCACTCCCCACCCCAACTTGGAAGTATATCGGCCGTTCTTCCGTTAGAATACTGGGTTAGAATCCTGGAATTCCCTTCCTAAGGGACATTGTGGGTCGACCTACACCACGAGGACTGCAGTGTTCAAGAATCACAGTATCACCACAGTGTGGAAGCAGGCTATTCAGCCCACTGTGTCCACATCAACACTCCGAAGAACATTCCATTCACAACCACCCTACTCCGTAGCCCTGCACTTCCCACGGTCAATCCAACCTAACCTGCACACCTTTGAAGCGTGGGAGGAAATCGGAGGAACCCATGCAGATACAGGGAGAATGTGCAAACTCCACACAGACAGTCGCTTGAGGGTGGAATTGAACTCGGGTCCCTGGCACTGTGATTTTGCTAACTGCTGAGCCACCATGCCACCCTAAGAAGGCATTCATCCCCACCTTCTCAAAGGGCAAGGGATGGGCAATAAATGCTGGGCGCAACCAGCGACACCCACATCCCATGAAAAAATAAAAACAAACAGAGGGCAACAATTAAGGTTGCATGGCAAAAGAAGCAACAGCCAGCATCTGTAACCCACTGCCCGAGAGCGCAGTGGAGGCAGCTTCAATCCTGGTTCTCAAGGGAAACCTTGCCTGAAGAGAAACAAGTTTGCAGGTTACTGCAGCAAAAAAGGCAGGGGAGAAAGTGAGTTGTTACCCTTACACAGGGTCTCCTCCTGTACCGTGACACATGATCACGTTTACACAATTTGCATTTAGGCCTGACAAATGAAAATGCTAGCCTGCTGGCCAGGACAGGAATGGTAATAGGTGACTTCTACCAGGGAGCCGGAGGGACGGGCAGTCAGAGGGCATTACGACCATTAGACCAGGGGTGGGGTGAGTGGGGAGGAAGCCGGAGGTAAGACTCCTCTTGTGGGCCAAGAGGGCACTCTTCCTCCTGCCTTTGCAACCCCCACCCCCCAAAAGAGAAATGATTCCACTGGCAAGGCCAGCACTGGGAGGGACTGCTGGGATTTCACAGCTAAAATTGTACACATCATGGGACTTCTATTGATTTACTGCAACGGTATGGAATTGGAAAAGTAGGAAAATCCTTTTACAACTGAGACCGCGTGTGGAATATTGCGTATGGATTCGGTCCCTTCACTTATGGAGGGATATCCTTGAACTCATGGGACTTCAGAGAAGATTCACTTTCTTTGCTTCATGACAGACAGACACTTGTAAAACTATGTTTATAGCCAAGGAAGGGAAGCCTGACTAAATCTTTACAGGACATTGCTGAGATTCTGCCTAAATTATTTTATACAGTTTTGGTCTCCCCACCTAGCCACAGATTTACTTGCATTAGAAACAGTTCAGAGAAAAAGGTTGGCTTGGCTGATCCCCTGGGATGAAGTGGGTGGGGGAGGTTTGTCTCATGATGAGAGGTTGAGCAGGTTAAGGCCTGTGCTCATTGGGGTTTAGCAGAATGAGAGAGTTTTGTTTGCCAGCAGTACAAGCAGATCACAACATACAAGGGCATACAGATCATAGGATTTTTAGCCAGAGCACACAAGGTTACGGGGGATAAGCAGTAAAGTGAAGGTGAGGGCACCTACCCTATCAGATCAGCCACAATCTTCTGGGATGGTGGAGCAAGCCTGAGGGACCGAATTGGTACCAATAGTGAGGGAGTGGCCATGGAGGTGACATATTTTGGATCAGGCACTAAATCATGAGGGGCATAGATAGGGTGAATAGTCAAGGTCTTTTCCCAGGGTAAAGGAGTCCAAAACTAGAGGGGCATAGCTTTAAGGTGAGAGCGGAGAGTTTTAAAAGGGAACTGAGGGGCAACTTTTTTTAAGTAGAAGATGGTGCGTGTATGGAATGAGCTGCCAGAGGAAGTGGTGGATGCAAGTACAATTACAACATTTAAAAGGCATCTAGACGGATATATGAATAGGAAGGGTTTGGAGAAATATGGGCCAAAAGCTGGCAAATGGGACTAGATTAAGATAGGATATCTGGTCAGCGTCAACGAGTTGAACTGAAAGGTCTGTTTTCATGTTGTACAGCACTATGAATCTAAATCAGAGGTGCTCAGTCCTGGACCTCACTTGGGTAGCCATAAATGATCCTGCGGCTATCGCTGGAAGAAAATCCTGGTGGACGGTGAGGAAATTTTTCGGGGGGGGCACCTATCATAGACTTATACTGCGTGGAAACAGACCTTTTGGTCCAAACAGTCCATGCTGATCATAATCCCAAACTGAACTAGTCCCACCTACCTGCTCCTGGCCCATATCCCTCCAAACCTTTCCTATTCATGTACTATTGCTCAAAAAGAAACCAGACAAACTACACACCATTGTGTGGCTGTTTGCGGGATCCTGCTACGTGTAAATTGGTTTCCACTACTGGAATATGGTGATGTGACAACCGTAGCTGCGAAAGAGTACCCGAATGGCTGGTCCACAGGGGGACAAAAAGGCAGCACCAGCAGGCGGTAACGCAGAGGTCCTCCTGGCTTACCATAATGGTGTGATCCGGAAACCTCTTCCTGACGTTTTTCACACATTGCACAAAGTGTTCCGAGTATCCGTTGGCGACGTCCAGGCAGATGTAGCGGATGTCGGGCACGTGCTCCAGAATGGCTGCCAGCTTCTCCAAGTCGCTAGAGCCAGTGCCAGCACTCACTGCCACGTTCTGTGAACAGGGTGGAGCCAGAGACAGACAGTGAAGAAATGTGCTTGGATTTCACACACCTCGCTCAACTCAACACAACTGCTGCACCACAAGAGGGCCCTTCTATCCCTTAATAAATAAAGCTGAGAGCTTGTCTTACTATTCTGACAGCCATGCTAACCTGCAGCACAACTGTTAACGATCGCTGTGGCATACTCCAAGATCCCCTTGTTCCTTTACCCAAACCGGACTCTCACATCTCAAGTAATGAACCATCTCCCTGGTCTTCCCACTGAAACACACGACCTGCTTTTGATATCACAGAATTGTTACGGCAGGAGGACGACATTCGGTCCTCTGTGCCTTTTCCACGTATTCCTGCACACCATCTTTATCCAAATAATCATCAATGCCCTCTTGAACATCTCTCCTGCACAGATTTCTCGCCCATAATCTTCCCAATGCCCAATTCTGCCCTCAAAACTGATCCACACAATAACACCTCATCCCCACAATCCCAGTCAGTTCTGAACTCTGAAACCACCCTTGCCCCTGAATTACCCCCTCCCTCGTCCTCACCTGCAGACAATCTGGGTTATTGATGGCAAATTCCTTCCATTCTTCCAACGTATAATGCTTGTGCACAGCGGTGAAGAGTGAGAACTGCATGGGGAAACAAACAACAGAAGTGACATGGCTAGTGGGTTGGTTTTGGCACAATGTGCCGAGGTACTCTGCATGAGTGATTATCAAAATGCAATTAGACACTGAGCCAAGTTGGGAGATGTTAGGACAGGTGACCAAAAGCCTCAGTCAAAGAGGCAGATTTAAAATGGTTTAAAGTAACAGTGTTTTAGAGAGGGAATTCCAGGTCTGGGGAGCCTGCAGTGACAGAGCGAACGGGAATAATAACAGAGAAATGTGAGCTATGAGAGGAGAGCAATCAGTCTAATACAACTTCCTTGTTCTTGGTCAGAAGTCACACAAAGGCAAGTTATAGTCCAACAGGTTCACTTGAAATCAAGTGAGGTCACCTGATGAACGAGCAACGCTCTGAAAGCTTGTGATTTCAGATAAACCTGTTGGACTATAACCTGGTGTCGTACGACTTCTGACATTGTCCACCCCAGTCCAACACCAGCACCTCCATACTTTGCACTTGGTCCACAGCTCTGCAGATTACTGTACCTTTTACATTTGATTAGGATTTCTACCTCAATCGCACAGTCACTCGATTACTCAGGCAATGATTTCCAGAACCCCATCACCTGCCGCTCCCAATTGTTCAACCTATTATTTTAAACCCTCCCAGTCAGCAACCTCTTTTGTTGAGGGCAATAAGTCCTTTCTATTTAGAGTGAGGGGCCAGAATCAGAGGAGAGCAGAGATTCTGGAGGGTCGTGGAGCTGAAGGCGATTTCAGAGAGTAGATAGGTAAGGCTATGGACGGATTTGAAAACGAGGATAAGAATTTCAAAATCGAGGTGAGTTGGAGGAGTGGGGTATGTGGCAAAGGCTTCTGATTAGAGGGTCTAAATTAAGAGTTATAGAGTCATACAGCATAGAAACAGGCCCTTCAACCCACTATGTCTATGTGACCAATAAACACCAAACTACACATTTACCTGCACTTGGTCCATAGCCTACTATGCCCTGGCATTTTAAGTGCTCATCCAGATGCGTCTCAAATGTCACAAGAGTACCTGCCTCCATGGCCCTCTCAGAAAGCACATTCTTATTTTTATCACCATTTGGATGAAAAATGTTTCTGTCAGATCTGCTCTGAACAACTTATTCCTCACCTTAAACTTATGCCCTCTGCTTTTAAACACATCAGCCATGGGGAAAAGATTCTCACAATCTACTCTGTCTATACCTCTCATAATTTTGTACACCTCAATCAGATGCCCCCTCAGCCTCCATTGCTCCAGGGAAAACAAACGCAGCCTATGCAGTGTCTCCACTTAACAGAGACTTTCCATCCCAGGCAACATCCTGCTAAATCTCCTCTGCACCCTCTCCAGTGCAATCACATCCTTCCAATAGTGTGGTGACCAGAACTGCACACAGTATTCCAGCTGTGGCCTAACTACTGTTTTATAAAGTTGATACAAGACTTTCTTGCTCTTATATTCTATGCCCTCACTAATGAAGGCAAGTGTCCCATATGCCTTCTTCACCACCCTGTCTACCTGTACTGACACCTTCAGGGATCTATGGACTTGTACACCAAGGTTCCTTTGTTTCTCAGTATTCCCCAAGGACCTAATTCATTGTGTACATCCTTCCCTTATTCGGTCTCCCAAAATGCATCACCTCACACTTATCTGGGTTATATTCCATCTGCCATTGCTCTGACCAGTTTACCAGCTGATCCATATCAGACTGTAGCCTTAAGACTATCCTCCTCACTATTCACACCACCACTAATTTTCATCTCATCTGCAAACTTACAAATTATACCTACTACATTCACATCCAAGTTGTTAACGTACATAATAAACAGCAAGAGTCCCAGTACCAATCACTGTGGTAGACTGCTGGTTACAGGCTTCCAATCACAAAAACATTCCTCCACCATCACCTTTTGCCTCCTATTTGTAAGCCAATTTGGATCCAGTTTGCCAACTTGTCTTGGATCTCATGGACTCTTACCTTTGAACCAACCTTCCATGTGGACTCTGTGTACGACCTCATCATTGTATTTAGTCAACTTTTCAAAAAACTCAGTTAAGTTAGACAGACAGGATCTCCTGCTAATCGATCCGGGCTGACTATCCCTGATCAATTCCTGCCTTTCCAAAGGTTGATTAATCCTCAGAATGTTTTCCAATAATTTCCCTACCACTTATATCAGACTAAATAGTTTATAATTACTTGGCCTTTCCCTGTTGACCTTCTTCAACAAGGGAACCAGTTTGCTGGCCGCAGGTGAACTGCCAGATGATTTGAGGACAGCTAAGTATTAAATATCTCCACCAGGGACCCAGTAATCTCCTCCTCTGCGAACCATAGCAGCCTGGGAAACATCCCATCAGGCACTGAGGATTTATGCATCTTATGCCTATTAAAACATCTAATAATTCCTCTTTATTAATCTTATGTTCTATAATCTCACCATGCCAATTAAAATCCACGGGTACAATGTCTTTCTCCTCTGTGAATACAAATGAGATTATATTCATTTAAGACTTTAATAGGACTGTCTACATACTGGCACTAAAAGCTCTCCAGGATGCACTTTAAAAATTCAACCCACCAAATCCTTTCACATCAAGGCGATACCAGGTAAGGTTATCAAATTTGAAATCTCCACAACCCTGTTTCTCTCAGACCTTTGTGATCTGCCTACATATCTTCTCCTCTATCTCCCTCTGACTGTTGGAAGGCTGTAGTATAATCCCAGCAAATTAATTGCCCCCTATTTGTTTATAAGTTCTACCCAGGTGGCCTCATTTGACCAGCATCTAGGACACCCTCCCTCATTACAGCAGTGATGATTTCTTTTATCAACAATGCAATGGCCCCTCCTTCTCACATCCTCCGACTGAGCCTGAAAACTCTATAGCCTGTAAAGTCAGACCTGTCCTTTCTTCCAACATGTCTCAGTGATTGTAACAATATCATATTCCCATGTACTGATCAACGCTCTTGAATTAATCTGCTTTACCAGTCAGGTTCCTTGTGTTATAACAGATACAATTTAGCTTTCCAGGCCTCCCATGTATCTTATCATACCCATTTCTTCTCTGCCTACTTGACTGTCTTAGCATTCCTTCCATATCTGACTGGACCTTGCTCCTGACTTTACATCTATTCTGAGCCCCACCCTCCAATGAAATTAATTTAAAACCTCCCCAACAACATGAGGAAAACTCCCAGAAAAGATATTGATCGCATTCTGGTTCAGTTGCAACATGTCCAGCTTGTACAGGACTCACCTACCCCAGAAACTATACCAATGATCCTAAAATCCAAAGCCCTCCCTCCTACACTATCCATTTAGCCGCGAGTTCTTCTGACCTATCTTCCTGTTCCTATACTCAGTAGCATGTGGCAGAGTTCTCCTGCCAATGTGAACCTATCCAACTACAAACAATAAACCAGGAACAAATTACTCAACCTTACCCATGACTCACTAAATTCAGAATTCGGTGAGAGGAAAGTCCTCACACTGGCTCCTGGAGTAGATGAGTAGAGGGGCTTAGGAAGTCAGTTTACAATGAAAACTGAAACTTGTTGGGAGGTGACAGTGGAGGGACAGTGAGTGGGGTTCATGACGATGGAGTATGATGACACTGACAATAGTTGTTGGAAGTGAAGGTGGGGGAGGCAAACAGGGAGGTTATGCTACAACTGTATAGGGTGTGGGTGAGGCCACACCTGGAGTACTGTGTATAGTTTTGGTCTCCTTACTTGAGAAAGGACGTACTAGCACTAGAGGGGCTGCAGAGGAGGTTCACTAGGTTGATTCCTGTGTTGAGAGGGTTGGCTCATGAGGGGAGATGGGTAGATTGGGACTATACTTATTGGAATTTGAATGAATAAGGGGGGATCTTATAGAAACATACAAAATTATGAAGGGAATAGATCAAATAGAAGTTGATTTCTACTGGCGGGTGAAACTAGAATAAGAGGGCATGGCCTCAAAATAAGGGAGGAACAGATTTAGGACTGAGTTGAGGTGGAACTTCTTCACCCAGAAGGTTGTGAACCGGTGGAATTCCCTGCCCAGTGAAGCAGTTGAAGCTACCTTGTTGAATGTTTTTAAGGCAAAGATAGTTAGATTTTTGTACAGTAAAGGAATTAAGGGTTATGGTGAGTGGTGTTGAGTCCACGACAAGATCAGCCATGATCTTATTGAATGGCAGAGCAGGCTTGAGGAGCCAGACGGCCTACTCCTGCTTCTATGTCTTATATCCTTATGTGGGAGGCAAGGTGTGGATTTTCTGAACACTGTTTACAACACAGATTGGAGCACTTGTTGATGGAGGTGAAGGTAGAAGAGAGGTGACTGTTTAAGAAGACGGTTTGCGATGGAGACTGGTAATTTATATTGAAGATGGGGATGGCGAGATGGTGGCGGGGGGGTGGTCTCATGACTTTTTATAATCTGGACTGGAGTAACTGTTGTTAGAGAGTTGAGGTATTGGGTTTTAAGAAGGCAGTTTGCAATAGATAAGGTTTTTCGTTGCTAGTGACGAGAGTGGAGGAGCTGGGGGTGACAGGAGGTGTGATGTGACTGGGTTTTCATGGCCTACTGCTTTGTAGGCAAGACAGGAAGTCAGAAACCACAAGGGCTGCCATTCCTCTTCATCCTCCAAAGTCAGCTGCTGTTGTGGCTACGCAGCCATGCCAATATCCATTGCATTGTCTTGCCTGTGTGAACCTGTCAGGTTAGGTCCCAAACTGTGAATGAGTTTTGTGAAGAAAAAATAAGGTGGAATCTCTTTGCAGTGGCAATAGGGTTATTAATCATGGTATATGTTGTGCTGAACATGATGCCAAATTAAACTAATCCCTTCTGCCTGCCCTTGGTCCATATCCCTCTACTCCTTGCATATCCATGTGCTTATCTTAAAGCCCCTTAAATGCCCCTAACATATCTGCCTCCACCACCAGCCCTGGCAGCATGTTCCAGACTCCTACCACTCTGTAAAAAAAAAACTTATCCTTCATACCTCCTTTGAACTTTCCCCCTCTCACCTTAAATGCATGCCCCTAGTATTAGGCATCTTAACTCTGGGAAAAATATTCTCACTGTCAACCCTATCTATGCATCCCATAATTTTATAGACTTCTATCAAGTTTCTGCCTCTCCAGGGAAAACAACGTGAGTTTTTCTAGCCTCTCCTTATAGTTCATACCCTCTAATCCAGGCAGCATCCTGGCAAACCTCCTCTGCACTCGCTCCAAAGCCTCCACATCTTTCCCGTAATGTAGCGATCAGAACTTAACACAATACTCAAAGTGTGGCCTAACCAAAGCTGCAACATGACATCCTGACTCTTGTACTCAATTCCCCAACTATTAAAGGCAAGCATGCCATAATGCCTTCTTTACCACCCTATCTACTTGTGTGGCCACTTTCAGATTTGGTATTCTAGCAATTCTGTCGTGATGGTTACATATAACACAAAAATTTTCGACAACTTACAGGAAAAGCAGGGAAATTATGGGCAGCATTTGTAAAATATTGGTTTGGTCTTGTGTCTTTTGGAAGGAAGTGAAGGCATCGGGGAGAGTGCAGCAAAGATTTGTAAGAATGGTTTCAGGAACAGGAAAATTTGGTAACATTGGTAAAACCACTTTCAAGCTCAAGAGGTGGTTTTCAAAACCAGGAATTAGGACAGAGTCAATACAGGGAAGCCATTTTCTCTGATAGAGAACCAGAACTAATGCAAGAAATTTTCTGTCAAGATCCGGAAACAATGCCCAAGGGTGGTGCTGGCAGATTCCAGGTTGCGGCTTCCAAATGGAAACTAGTTGATTTTTTTTTTAAAAAATTCACTCACAGGGTGTGAGCGCCACTGGATGGGCCCAGCATTTATCACACATCCCTAATGCAGAAAGTGCAGTCAAATTTGGATTGCCCGTCCAGTGACATTACCCATACGCCACTCTCCTCTGAAACGGCCGAGCAAGTCACCCAGTTCAAGAGGCGATTAGGATGAGTAACAGGTGTCAGTGCCACTATGAGTATTTTTCTAAAAGTCCATTATCAATGCTAGTTTTTATTCTGTATTAAAATTCTCAAGTTATATAACGTACTGCTGCCTTGTTTGGGACATTGAATTTTCATCAAGTTTTACTGTCAGTACGTCACAGAGAGGAAGTATGTCTTCAGAGCCTCGAGAAAAGAGAAGCAAGAGTTTAATTTGGATAAATGCAAGGCATTGCACTTTAGTAGAACAAACAAGGGCAGGACTTATACAATTAAAAATAGGGCGTTGGGTAGTGCTGTAGAACAGAGAGACCTAGGGGTTCAGGTATATAATTCATTGACGTTTGCATCACATGTAGATAGGATGGTTAAGAAGGCGTTTAGCCCGCTTGCCTTCATTGCTTAGACCTTTGAGTACTGGAGTTGGGACATCATGTTGAGGTTGTTCAGGACACTGGTGAGGCCTCTGCTGCAGTACTGTGTCCATTTCTGGTAACCCAGTTACAGGAAGGATATTATTAAGCCAGAAAGGGTTCAGAAGAGATTTACCAGGATGTTGCCAGGAATGGAGGGCTTCAGTTATAAGGAGAGGCTGGACAGGCTGGGATGATTTTCATTGGAGTGGGGGAGGTTGAGAGGTGACCTTATAGAGGTTTATTGGGAACATTTAGATAAGGTGAATGGCAGGTCTCTTTTCCCTAGGGTGGGGAATTTCAAGATTGGGGGTATATGTTTTTAAGATGGGAGGAAAAAGATTTTAAAAAGACATGAGGGGCAATTATTTTTACAGAAAGAGCGGTTCATGTGTGGAACGAACTTCCAGAGGAAGTGGTTGATGTGGGTACAGTCACAATGTTTAAAAGACACTTAGGTAAGTACATGAATAAGAAGTGTTTACAGGGGCATGGGCCAAGTACAGGCAGATGGGACTAGATTAGTTTGGGATTATGGTCAGTGTGGACTGGTTGGACTGAAGGGTCTCTTTCCTTGATGTATGGCTGAAGGAGGGGGAGTGGAGTATCTTGAACAGCTGTCTCCCAAGAGCCAACACAAGCAGAAGGGGCAAGCACGGCATCTATCGGCAGATGCAATGCTTGCAACTGACCTTGTTAAGTGCTCTGGCCATCTCGAACGTTCCCACAGTGTCCATGTTAGCTGCTACAATGGGAATACCAGTGTACGACTGCTTGGAGTTTCGGAACACAAATGATCTCAGGAGGTCCACCTGATGGGGAGGAGGTGTTGTTGGAAACACACATGATGAGAACATAAAATCTGATCTGCTCCAGTTTCTGATTGGCAATAGGTTGTGACAAACGAGATAGAGCAGTCGCCAACAGGCAGTGCTGGGCTGCCTACCCAC